AGTTTATTACTACTTAGTCACACAACTTTTCCCTCCAAAGGAACTGGACCTTTAGTGGAATGCAAATAATCTGAAAAACGTTATGTAATTAAATTTTTTTTCCAAAGTTGCAAACTGAAATATACAATTTACATCAACGCCCCTGCATCTTTAAAAAGTCTCTGCTGGAATTCTGGTATCACATCAGGATTTGCATAACTTGCTGTTTTTTTAAGATTCGTGTTTTAATATAAATATTCAATTTGAACTGGAAGGTCTAGCTAATTTTACTCCCAAATATACCGCTTTTACTTGAAAAACAAATATGGATTTTATTTTTAGGAATCTTGCCGCAATCGCGCCATTTAACTCAAACCTAAATGATGTCTTTGAACTTTATTCTAAAACTGTATCCCCCTTGAAACACTTCAGTTCTATAGTAGATATCATGTGGCGATAGAGTTCCCTTTTACCCCTTGATTACTAACAGTGTGAAATATAGTTACCAATATAAATCATTATTACCAAATTCAAGGCTGAAATACAGATATATAGATCTCCAGCGGTAGACAGTTTGGGTGATAGATAAACCGCAGGACAAGACATATTGTGGTAAATTGAGGCATAACTATCGCATATTGTGCAACTTCCGCATTTTGTACGAACATATGTTCATCACGTTTTTCATACATAGTAGGAGACATCGCCCATCCGAATCAACAACGACGTAACTATATTTATACCTCGGAGGTAAAAAGCACTATTTTTTTGTCAAAAGGAATATTTTACCCCACTTGCGTGAGTTTCTGAAGGTATTCAAATGTATGTCCAAAATGCAATGATGACTATGTTAGACGCAAAGCAAAGTCATGAACTTTTACATACATAATTTAAACTCCTATCCTATAAAATTAGGTCACTGTAGCATAGAGCCCTTTGCCTCCGAGGTACAGATGTCACGTCGTTGTTGTTCCGCATGCACGATATGCATTTCTCAATATGCAATAAATTTGGGCGTATTACTTTAAATATGAGTTTCTACAGGTGCCTTAGGATAAATCTTACAAACGTCAAAGGCACGCAGATGTGTCGAAAATAATAACGTTTTGCCAATGGGAAAAGGGGAAAGTCTCCCAGACAGCCAAGTAGTGACTGACTAAGGCTCTCGTCTACGGCCTTCTGTGAATCCGCCGCCCTCGCCATGTGCCCGACACCGGTCCTGCGCCAACCAGAGGGGAACTCGCCGTCCGCATTCGCACGCGCTCTAATCTTGGCCTGGTGCCCCGCCCGCAGCCGCAGGTGGTGACGACCTACATGGTGGTGCCCCCCGACGGCGGCTGGGGCTGGGTGGTGGCGGGTGCCTCCTTCCTCAGCAACCTCATCGTGGACGGCATCATTTTCTCCTTCGGCATGTACATGGGCGAGATGTCGGAGTCGCTGGGCGAGAGCAAGGCCACCGTGTCGCTCATTGGCTCGCTGCTCGCCGGCTTCTACCTCGTCGTCGGTGAGTAACCGGCCGCAAGGGCGCGCGCCGGGCGGCGTTGGGTTCCAAGGACTCCCTGTCAGCTTCTTCCTCTTGCCCCAAACCGTCCTCTCCTCCTCCTCCCTCCTTCTCCTCCTCCTCACTCCTCCTCCTCTTCACTCCTCTTACTCCTCCTCCTCTTCCTCCTCCTCCTCTTCCTCCTCCTTCTCCTCCTCCTCCTCCTCCTCCTCCCCCTCCTCCCTCCTCCCTCCTGCTCCTCCTCCTCCCTCCTGCTCCTCCTCCTCCCTCCTGCTCCTCCTCCTCCTCCCTCCTCCTCTTTCTCCTCTTCTTCCCTCCTCCTCTTTCTCTTCTTCCTCCCTTCTCCTCTTTCTCCTCTTCCTCCCTCCTCCTCCTCTTCCTCCTTCTCCTCCTCTTCCTCCTCCTCTTTCTCCTCTTCTTCCCTCCTCTTTTTCCTCTTCCTCCCTCCACCTCTTTCTCCTCTTCCTCCCTCCTCCTCCTCCTCCTCCCTCCTCCTCTTCTTCTTCCTCTTGTGTTCCTACCATTTAGTCTCTCTTCTCTACATTTGCCTCTCTTCTCTACATTTGCCTCTTTTCCTTCTAATTTTTTCTTCTTCCTTTCCTTCGCAACAGCCAACAGTCTCCCAATCCTATTTTTCCGTCTTTGTTTTTGTTTTTTTTGTCTACCTCTTCTTTTCTCCGTACATTTCTTCTCTATCCTCGGCGGCATATTGGCGACCACATAAACCAAAAAAGGTAAATGGAATTATAAATGATGATCAAGATGACTTGAATGTGGAATTCGTACTGGTTTTCTGTGGCCTTCCTCGTCACAATAACACAGTGAAAACATCCGCGCCCCACGTTTGACTCAATCCTCAGCCTCACTCCAGAGCGGTTTGGCGCCCATGAGTTTTCAGCAAAAGGTGTTTTCAGACTTTTTCTATCAATAATAATAATAATAATAATAATAATAATAATAATAATAATAATTAGTAATAACAAATCTTATTTTCTTAATTATGTTCATAGTGATAGATGTGTTAAGTGAATTTGTTTACAGCATCGAGTGAAATAAAGCGTTTTGCACAAATGGATAAATTGTGTCAAATAATTTGAAAAGTTGAAAACGGTTCAAGATAGAAAACATACATTCTATTCAAACAATTTGAATGGATATAAATTAGTGTCCTGCATCAACAAAAATTCTGCTGCACAAAACTACAGGAAGTGATTTTGCAAAAGATACCACCCTCACTGTTCAAGAAAAAGAAATAAAGAACTCTCTTATTACACTACAATCAAATAAATGTTTTTTTAAGTGTTCACGAATCCTGCAATAACGTTGTATAACAGTTATTTACGAACCAAGAATGACGAAAAAGTTGCCATAACGCAACACATGACTAGCAAATATTAAATGGCGGGTGGGGGTCTCTTCCTTGCAGCCTTGCTGTCGCACGACATCAGCTATAATATGTAGTATGTAGTGTCGCACTTAGTACAGAATTCAATTCGTACGCACAGTATGAGAAAAGGTGGAATAACACTATCAAATATTTGCATTTTTTAGTCAAAATAGAAACTGTTTAATTGTCTTTGGATTTTATCGGAGTTCCTGAATTTTTAACGACAGTTTGGATATCTCCCGTCGTAGATATAAATCATTTTCGCGTGATTTTCTTAAACAATTTGATTAATATAGATGTCTCCATACAACGTGTTTGCGAAACTTGTAAAAATGTGCATATTTACTCTCTAATCATACAAAAATATACATTTTTACTAAGATTCAAAAGTTTTAGTCAACTCTAGCTCACAAACAATTGTTTCTTAAAGAGTTTTTCTAATCTCATGTTCTAATTTTCTAATTATATGGCCACAGCTCATTTTATAATCAAAATAATTGTGACACAGATTCATTGTCTTGCACACATCGACAAATTACAGCGATGTTTGCGAACCAAGCTTTGAGACATAATTAATAATTAGTCATCGTTTTTGTAAATATTTCGTCATACTGAGTTGACTAGCAGGGATGTGACAGCTAACAAATAGCTTCGACCGGCAAAATATTAACATGTTGATCGGGAGTGAATCAAAGATGAGACTATCACCGCCAAAAGTACGATAAAAGTCGGAAATGATAACTAGGTTCAACATCTATTACTTTTCATTAGACAAAGAAAAATTATTGTATGAATGGGTTATATATGTTAATACAATAGTATGGAATTAACGACCCTCGCTCGTACCTCACTAGTATGGTAATAGACTTCACACTCGTGTGTTAATACCAATCATTTCATCCTTTCCTAATATAATATTTTGTTGTAAATAATAAAAAATATGTTCCTATGAATAGTTAATTGGTATTGTTACTGTTATAACCATGAATAACACCCGCTTTTTGTTGTTCGCTTGTTTGAATCTGAAACGTGCTATGGTACATACCATACTTAAAAAAAAAACTCTTCAAGAGCAGAACGAAGTGATCCTTGCGAAACTAGTTTTCAAAATTACTCCGGAATTACTTTTAAAATACCCTATTATCTTTCTTGTGCTTGTACATATTTGACCCTTGTCGTCTGCTCACAAGCATCCTCTTCTGAAAAAGCGGACTCAGCCACACATCTCTCTTCAGGAAAGTTTACTTCTCCGTTGATGAATATCGAAGGAAATCTTGGCTATACTTCATCTATGCTAATTTGTAATTCATAGATCCGCGCGAGGCTTTTTAGTATTGTGTTTTAAAAATCCAACGAAGAGCGAAAGCAGAGTTATCGCGTGCAGCTGCCTGCTGAACATTCCGTCTGTGTGGGTTGCATCTATCAGGGGCTCTCTCAAATCCTTTTTAAAAACAACGGAATGGAAACATTCCAAACATTTATAAAATGTGGAAATATACCAATTTGTATCATAGTCGTAATATAATTAACATTAACTTATGAAGAAATAAATGAATTCGTTTTTGATGTTATTTTTCGTTGAAGTGTTCATAAGATAGTTACTATTGCTTGTGCTTGCTTGCTATTACGCAAGTGGATTTTGAGTTTATTCTGTTCATAAATGTTGCAACTAATTTATGTTTAATGACTTCTTATGATTGGCCACAAAAACGAGGACTGTCTGGATATGATAATATATTAACAAACTATTAATGTGTAAAATGCTTTTTTCAATTGAAAAATATATTATAAAATATTGTAGATCAATGGAATGAAGAGTACATTATCAGCGCTACATATGGGCTAATGAATGGCTGAAATGGCATGATGACAATATATAAAGGTTTGTTATAAAGGTGGCGCGTAGTTAAATGTATTCTTACTTGCATATACTGATTGTATTTCTTGTCTTGTAAAGATGTCCAATGATTGTGATGTTTAGGTTATACTACTAAGTTATTAGCGACTACGTTTTTGTGTACATATGTTGTATAAGGATGAGTGAAGTATTATATAAGCACGTTTTATGATTAAGTATTGATATGCATAATTTTAAAATGTCTATAATATATGTTATAAGTTATTTTTAGCCTCATGGTGGGACAAAATAATGTCCCGAAACGTTGCAAAATAATTAAAATAACAAACTAATGTGTAATACAATAAATAGTTAATATGGAACTAATGTAATGGTGGCATACAATAAATGCAATGGTGTGTTAGATTTAAATTGTCTCTGAACTGTGGAGCAACATGTTCCTTATGAAAATTTATTTCCATCCGATAGAAAGTATTTCTGAGCAATACAAAATTAACTTTTCAAACATATCTACCAAGTAGACGGTTCATTGGAAGAACCTAACTTTCATTTCGATACTTCCCTTTTTTTATATTTACTCACGACTCGCACAGATATCTGCAATATCTTTTAATGGAAAGTAGCCAACATCTCCAGGGCGAAGTGTGTTATTGAAAACTATAATTAACGCCTAGTTTTTGAAATTGTGTTTCAGGTCCGTTCGTGTCGGCGTTAGCTAACCGCTACGGGTTTCGGACGGTGGCTGTGCTTGGAAGCTTCGTGGGAGCATTCAGCTTCTTCATCTCCTACTTCGCGACGAGCGCAGTCTTCTTATGCATCACCTACGGCGTTTTGGGCGGTAAGTATCATCGCGGGTAAAGCATTTGAATGCGCGTCCTCAGCATTTGATTTGCCATTCATTTTTACACCAAATATAAAGTCAATTAGTGGCCATTGCCTCAGTTATTTATTTCTTTTCTATTCTTTTTTATATAAATAGTAAGTCGAAACGTCTTATTGATATTGGAATTGGCAATAGTGTAGCATAAACAGGTACTTCTTTGGTCGCAGTGCTTTAAACATATTCAGGGATTAGAATGTCGAGGAGAGGACGACCTTACTACTTAACATCAAAGTTTGGAAATAAATGAAATAAAAATTCAATTCAATTGAAAGATGGGCGTTTGTAGAAGAGACATCTTTTTAGAAAGAGATTAATTTTTACTCAACCAAATTAGTATTAAATTCCACGAATTGTATGAGAAGGAAAGTATTTCTGATTAAGCTCACCGCTGTTGCCTAACACAAAATAGAACAATGCAAGCCTTCGCGACCGGCGTCAATATAATATCCCTTACCGGATTGATAGATTAGTTGAATTATATCTAGTTGAATTACACGATTTTCTGCCAGTTGTTGCCACTGCACCTTCCCGAAACACTCTCAATGTCAATGACCTTAGACCCCTCGTGACCAGCTCCTGGTAGACTCGTTTTCCTATAATAATAATAATAATAATAATAATAATAATAATAATAATAATAATAATAATAATAATAATAAAATGTAGAGGTTTTTAAAGTCATAAAACCAAACTTCGAACTATTGGTCGTGCCATTTTTTGTCTGCGAAAAGAAATGCTATTACGCATTCATAACGCTGTGAATGTGTTTTACATCGCAGTGTTGGTAGACTGCTCTGATCAGCGGCTCCTCTTTTCCCCGGCGAATGCCGGAGCAGCGCCTTACACTCCGGGCCACGGACCTCGCGCGATCTTTCCTTCCTCACAGCGCCAGTGCAGTTGAAGCGTCCTAAAAGCTTCATTAATCAATTAATAAAGTCACTGGTGTTGTGATGTTAGTAATAACATTTGAAAAAAAGAAAGAAAAAAACTAAAATGAAAAAAAAAAAACTATCTAAAAGTCGTTGCACAATCGTAAGTAATTGCAATACCGTGGGTGCATTTTTTGCATTTTTATTGTTCTCTTCCTGTTCTGAATTCTTCCTGACAAAACAACTTGTTGAGGGTTCGGGAAACTTCAGGTAGGAGGAATGGGGACTGGATCCCTCTCCCCACACACAAATACATTTTTATTTGTAACTAGCTGATTCTGCAGTGCCTTGCTATTGCAGTGCATTACACTTCACATGCTACTGATCACTTGAATGTTTATCGCTACACTCTGTACAAATTCTAATAGACGAAAGACTTTCTAGGTTTGTTCTGTCTTGGTTTGGAAATGGTTGTCGAGTATAATATCGTTAAAACATTCTCCCTCAAGTTTGGACATGCGTTCGCTATGTCACTTTCTTGGAGATATTTGGTTTACTTGCCCGAAATAAAGTTCAAGTAATACATTCTGCCAATATTTCAAAATTGTAGGGGCAGAATATGTAGCTAAGAAGCGCTTAATACTTGACGGTGTGGCGGGTTGCGTAGAACTTCTGTTCAGGGGTGCTTGCATCATCATAAACGCATAAATCATTAACGCCTCCACGTGTCATTTAATTCAAACAATTCTTTAAACACTCACGATACTTGTAAGAACTAAGTGTGCAATTTCAGTGGAATCGGTTGAGTAGTTTTTACATCTATTTTCAACAGACACACGCACATTCCTTTATTTATTTGAGATTTTACTGTGAGATAATACTCCATTCCCTACTGGGCTAAATGTTTTTCTGGTTAGCCATACACTGCAGAGCCTCTGACCGGCAGGTCCTAGGGTCGAGTTCCGAGGATGCCGGATTTTCGACACTAGCTGAATAGCCAGGTTGAATTCTATCGATTGTTTACTCTGGTCGGTAATTTTCCTTGTTTTTTTCGATCAATACTAGGCGAATGCCGGAACATGACCATGACAAAAGGATCACGGTCTATCTTTCTTTCTTCATCCTTGACCCCCTCACCGCTTACACGCACTTCACTGCCTCACACGTCGGGAGACCAATCAGGAGCTTAGAGCTTGTTGCCTCTGGGGAGGTGCGTCACAGGAGGGGATACTTTGAGAATGGAAACACGACTTGGGATTAATCTACCGAGGAGGGACACTTCTACTCCCGAGATACAGTACTACACTCACGACGGGGGAGTCGCCCAGAAACACACAGAAATGAACGAGTGTGTATGTGTTTAGGCGTGGGCTTCGGGCTGATCTACGTGCCGGCCGTCATCACGGTGGGCTTCTACTTCGAGCGGTGGCGCGCCCTGGCCACGGGCGTGGCGGTGTGCGGCTCGGGCATCGGCACCTTCGTCATGCCGCCCATCATCACCGCGCTCATCGGCACCTTCGGCTGGCGCGGCTCGCTGCTCATCCTCGCAGGTGCGACACCTTTGTCTAACGACAACCATCTACTTGCACTTCGTTTTCAGAAAAATGGTTCATTTCCAAAACTGATCAGGTTATTACATATACAACAATTCTTAATGAGAGTTCGGGTTATGGGAAGTTAAATCTAATTCTACTTATTGTTTAGTGTGATAGTGTTTAACAAGTGAACATCTCAACAAGTGCGGTTTCAGAAAATATTTAAAGACGAGAAGGGTATATTTTATAAAGAAATGAAACACATTGACAAAATAAATTAAGTTGTGGTAATAGTTTTATATGAAATGGTACTTTCTGGTGAGACATTTTACACAAGTTCTCCAAAAATTGCGAATAATTACTCAGCATTGTGTTTTGGCTCGTTCTCCAACATTGCATTTCTTCGCATCTTCTTTTTCGAAATGCAGTTCTGAGTAATTCCTTACAGTGTTCGGAAAACTCCTTTAAAATGTCTCCTCAGGAAGTAAAATAAAATCTGCAACTATTAACATAAATTAATTTACTTTTGAAGTGAGTTTCCTTTCTTTATAAAAAATATCCCCCACTCCTTTAATATTTTCTAAAACTGCACTATTGTTGCATTGCTCACTTCTTTAGCACTAATACTCTAAACAATATTTTCTGCAGTAAAATTAGTGAGATCAATTTCCTTGAATATAAATTATATTATGAATTGTTATAAATGTAAAATCCTGATGAGTTTTGGAATTTTTCTGAAAATGAACTTGAATCTGAAGATATGTTAGTAGATGTGGTTGTGAAACTCATCAGACACTATAATTATTTTGAGTTGTAATAAATATTATGTTTCATTTTCGGAAGCTTTGAGACTTGATTCTTTTTTAGCCTTTTTGAGTTATCAAGATTTAATTTTTTTAATGAATTGCACATTTTTTGTGAAGAAGAAAACATTTCAGTATTTTTTAAAGCATTTAAATGGTTAAGTAAATTATGTGGCTAAATTAATAAGTAGTTACAAAAAAATTCCTATTTTAATTTGTTTGGATTTTCTTTTTTAAAGGCCTGGTTCTCAACTGTGCAATTTTTGGTCTGATGTACAGACCTCTTAAACCACAAAAGGTAACCGTGGAAAACAAAGATGGTGGTGAAGAAACACCGAAGGATGAACAAGGTGCTGGAAAACCTGGGGAACAATTACCTTTGCTGGTTAGAATAAAAATGGCCCGCGATGACCAGTTGCATAAGAGCACATCTATTGGAAGCTTTGCAGATAATGTTAGTGTTACTGCTGAAAAACCATTTTCTCAAAACCGCCTCTTGAAAGCAAACAACAATAATACTTATCCTACTGCTGCTGAAGCATTAGCAGGAAGTGTGGTGCATTTAAATGGTTCACGACACGTGTCAAGTCAATCTCTAAATTTGTTGGGAGGTGGAGGACTAGCTAAGAACACTGCTACCTCTGGCAGCATTACTCTAACAAAAGCTCAGAAGAGATTAAGTGCTCCCACTTATCCTGATAATTATCTAGTTCCCCCAGCAATAACAGATATTTCATCAGGAAACAAAGATAGCACAGAAGTCACTGAAATGCTCCTTCCATTAACAGAAGAGAATCATAATTCACATTACAATGCGAGTGATATTAAAAAAGAAGCTCTTCAAAAGAGAAACAGCAGAACGAGAACTATCTCTGAATGCAGTAGAACAAGTCTTAGAAGCCGAAAGGGGTTAGGGACATCAAGAGACAATGTGGGTGTGAGGCCTCTTTATAGAGATGATATTTTCTTTGGAGGCAGCTTACAACGACTACCTCAATATACATCACAGGTAACACATTTTTGTTGAAATATTCACATTTTATACTGATAAAGGAGCTGAAGATTTTAACCAAAAATTTGTTTTGTTAATAAAAAAATATTATTTGGAATGGAAATGGATTAAATTTTTAAAGTGTCAATGTTATTACTAAAATCTAGAAAAATGCTTTGAAAGGTGTTTTATTTAATATTCAATTATCATTTTATTTTATAACTAGTAATCAAATACTTACATTCTGTAATTTGTTTTCTCTGAATTATTATTTTTAATACATTGCTTTCCTTAAATGTCAAGCATTTAAAGAGCAATTTATTAAGATCTCTTTCAAAACATTTATAATATTTTAAGAGTTGACATTGAAATTCGTTCTTTCATTCCTATTCGCCACCAAGTTAATTATTTGGTCTGTATTCCTTCTCAGATAAGTTCTGTAGGCTACCATATGTCCGTCTCAAGGCTTCCTACAAAAGCAGATGTAGAACAAGAAAGGAAAAACCAATGTATGCTGTGCCCGGAGGCTGTTCAACGAATTCTTGCTACTATGTTAGATATGTCTCTTCTACGTTCACCAACATTTTTATTGCTTTCTCTCAGTGGATTCATAACAATGATGGGATTTTATATCCCGTTTATGTTCATTACAGGTAAACCTTTAATTGAAAATGAATTTTAAATTGAACTGTTGTTGAGTACATTAACAATTGAATTGAAAAATTGTTGGGCACCTGTTTTGTGTAGTGGAGAAGGTCAAAATCTCATTGAATTCCTTGCATTAAAAGACAATGCTAGTTCAAAAGTTTCTGACTCCATTTAGCTCAGATTGCTTTATTGAAACACCACCTAAAGGGAAACTGACTTCACTTGAAAGTGAGATAGCTTAAAATTGGTTTGATGGTTGTTTATAGTAAAAAGGATTTGTATCTTTTGAAGCTTCTGCCTAAAATCTAAGAGGGTCTTGGTGCCATAGTTGATCAATAAGTTAATCATAAAATTAACTTTTTTATTTTAATTTTACCTTTCTTTACAGATAGAGCAGAAAAATACGGCTTAGATAAGAGTTTGGCAGTTTTTCTTGTATCTGTTATTGGCATCACCAACACCGTAGGACGTGTTGGATGTGGAATACTGACTAGCTTTCCTGGAGTTGACTCTTTATTAATAAATAACGTTGCCTTGACTATTGGAGGAATAGCCACAATGTTTAGTGGAATAGATACCTCAGCTGGTTATCAGTTCTTTTATGCTTCTGTATTTGGGCTTGCAATGGGTAAGAAATTATTTGAAATAATTTCTCTTATGTTATTTTATTATTTAGTCGACATTCAAATTATTATCCAATTGACTTTCAGCCTGCTTTGCATCCCTGAGATCAATTGTTATTGTGGATCTTTTGGGTCTGGATAAACTTACTAATGCCTTTGGACTGTTGCTGCTATTTCAAGGCATAGCAGCTGTTATTGGATCACCATTGGCTGGTAATTCTCAATATGTGCATATTTTTAAGACATACTAAACTGAAAGACTCAGAATTGCTCAGATATTTATTCCAGTAATCTATTAAACAGGGAAAGGAATGTATTCTATCTGTATAATAAAATGGAAGTACTAATTTTATTTACATAGGTACTAGCCCAGCTCTGTTCTGTCCTCTCTCCCTCTCTTTGAGTGGTCTCATCTTACTTACCCTGTTTGATCTCCTCTGGTCTTGCCTACCCCTTTGCCTTGATCTGCCCAACCCTGACCTAATCTGCTCACCCCAATGTTTTCTGCCCTGCTCTACACTGACTTGACTCATTGCGTATTGCATATCTATTTACTGTTGAAAAGGAGGTAACTAAAATTTAGAATGGTGAATCCATATGAGTTGAAAATAAGCCTAAATTATGCATGATAAAATAATCATATGTTTTGTCCCAAGTCTCATCAAATTCAGTTGAATCATTTCCAAGTGTAGACTGGATAAACCACTGAAACAATCAAAAATTGTAAAAACATTGTATATGATTTTTTTTTTAAAAGATTGTATATGTAAATTATAAGCTTGTGGAAAATGTGCTCATTGCCACACAATTCAGTTTTCTTAATATAGTTTTGTCTTTTGAATTGCATTTGAAAAATTTTATTTGTTTTAGGTTCATTCATGGAAGCAACTGGAAGTTATGACGCATCATTTTATTTATCAGGAGGACTCATATTGGTTTCAGCTATCATAATATATCCTCTTAATCGAGTGAATCGATGGGAAAAGGCTAGAGCAAAGAGCAAGACTGAATTAATTTTGTGAAAATGAAGTAAACAAAATTTGCAAAATGTTGCAGAACTGGTACTTGGGAACACACACACACAGTGTCAATTCCAAGTTTGTTTGTTTTGTTTGTTTACAAATGTTATTTCTCTGTGAACATTAACATTATTTTTTTAGTGAAACTGTAATAATTAATCTCCTATGCATGGTTTGTGCAAAAGGAAAAATATGGTTGATGGATGAACACATGTTTTCAGAGAAAACCCAATGAAGATTTTCATTGTGTGTTGTTTACAGAACTGAATGAACTATAATCTTCATCCATTCCAATAAAAATCACAAGTACAATATTGCTCTAAAAATTAATGCCAATAATTCTTCATTTATGGGAGAAATCGTATGTCAGAATATATTTTAAAACTTTTGGAAGGGGAAAATGTGAGACAATATCCCATTTTTATAAATGGTTAATATTTAAATTGTGTATTTAAAACTTATCAGGAAATGCAGATGTGTTTCTTTGAAGGTCAATTGAACTTTCCAAAGAGTAGGTAATAAAAGCCTCTGTAATCGTGCAAAATTCTCTTCTGGACATTTAAATGTCGCTAGAGTTTTGTAATGTCTATTATGTATAATACATATGTGTATACAATATCATGATACTCAAATGCAAAGATAATGAAGAAACTATGTATTGTCACACTTAACATGAGCTTAAAAACATTTGACATATCATTTGAATTATGATATGAATTCAGGTTCATTATCACTGTTGTTGCTGAGAAGTAGGGGTTTTTAAGAATTTGTAGACTGATGTAACTTAATTTTCATCAAATAGCCATACTTTAATCACACCTTAGATGATGTGGTGTATATCATATCACTGGATTTCTTACCTGTGATTATAGACCCTATGTGTACATAAAAGTGTATTTTTGTAATGCACAATTAGTTTTACTTTGCACTACTCCCAATATGTTATTAAAATATTTTTTTAAAAATGTAGAATGTGCCATTGTTTTTATATTTATTGTAATAGAAAGAAACCATCAAAATTAGTGTAATGAATATATGATATGGAATTATATATTTAAATATTGACTCGTTATTTTTTGTTTGATTTTGAAGTTGACCTGAATGTTTCAGTGTGTGTATTTATTCATTGTACTCCTTCTATGAGCTATTACTTATCTTTATTATATTCATAAATCCTTTTGCTATCAAGAAAAATAATAAGAGAAAAAAAAAATTATATCAAAAGTTTAACTTCTGAAAACCTTAAAAACTCTCAACTTGTTGATGAATTATATAAGGAGAAAAAATATATATCATTAATCTTAATAGTCTTAATGGGGTCAGTCAAAAAAAAAAAAAAAAATGCATTATATCATTTCTTTGAGTCTCCTTATATTTTGCTCTACTGCCAAGCACATACATCTTAAGAGAAATATGCATCCAGGTAATATTAATTATTCTTTTACATTATCTTGAGATTTGAATCGCAATGAAAGCCAGATAATAAATCAAACATTCAATCAGTTTTCACCTAAAAAATTTAGACCAATTCATCTTTCGTCAGAGCAGTAGCTTAACAAAATGAGTGTGAACTCGCCCCCAAAACATTTATCCGGACCCCCTTTAGAATAGTGTTAGTAACCTAATACAAATTATCTCCTAAAAATAGGCCTTCTTTTATCAGGGTCTGCCTGTATTGGGAGGCTTACAGGCCCAAATATTATGCCACTGTGTCAGAGATACATTTATTTGAATTACTGTCATTTATTTCCTTTGTGAAATAAATTACAATCTATTCCAATATGATCCCAGTAATTTATATTAATAAGTGTATTTAAAATTGTATTCTTTTTCTAATAAGGGAACTAAAAAAAGGCAGGATAAAGAAAGCTCACTATTCCTAGTTAGAATGTAGTATCTACTTTTATTTGTCTTATTAACATGTAAAATTTTAAAAAAAATTCTATTAATAAAAATATATTTTTTGGAAAAGAACATTTTCTAGAAAGTGAAATTAAATAAAAAATCCTGGAATTCTGGAATTAAAAAACTCTCATCAAGTCTTCTGTTTTGTAGTTTTGTTTTATCATTTGCAACCATTATGATCTAATTACAACAGTCATTACCACAATCACAAAAGTGCTGCATGAATGACAGACTTGCAATTTTGGTAGGGGTAATTAAATCTTACATTTCAATTGTTTTAGTTCCTTCATTATCTGACACTACAGTCTTTTACATCTTTATAAATAAAAGTAAATAAAAATGGCAGATGATGTGGTTGTTTTGATTAGCAAATTTGAACTAAGTAGTTTCATTTCTTTGGGGTAGGTCGTAGGACTAATTTGTGGATAGAATTTGGACTGGTTTGTACTTAGTGTGTGTAAAATAACTGCTATGAAGAAATTTTAACTACTGGTGCTATAATAACAGTTTGTAATGATTGCTTAATATTATAATAATGCAACCACTGTCTTATGAAGCTACAAGTCTTGAAAAATTATCTTCAGCCAAAGAAGCTTGGAAAATTCATACTTTCAATATTTGAAACTTCAGTTTTTCTAATAAAAATCAAACATATTCTATAAAATACATATTTAAAGGCCCAATTTTTTTATTCAAGTGAATAATTTTTTAAAATTGCAGTCTGTATTTTTTTTGAAAAAATCTTGTTCAGCGCCTACATATTTTGTGAATATTTGAAAAATGAAAATTTCTCACACAGTTTTGCTAAAAATCATTTTGAAAAACATAAGATCAGTTTCAAATTAAAGAGGCTGCAATTTCACGAAGATAAATTGGAGAATGTTCGTTTTGGTGAAGAAGCAGTGTATGGTTAGACTCTATTGTCATCACAGACAGATATTTTCAGGAAAAAACACTTTTTCATATTGTTTACATGAATTTCGTGATGTTGGCCCAGAACATGATAACTGCACAATCACTGCTTTGCAATATCAACATTTTCAGTTTAATTGGCATTTTAAAATTCTAAAATTAAACTTATATAATATAAGAATGGCATGTTATTTATCCATAAGCAGGCATATGTATAATTTTGTTACTTTTAAATATTTATAGTTAGGAAGAAAAGGAGATACTAAATGCTGGTAGATAATCAGAACATGGTAACTCCAATAATTTTTTTTCTTTCCTTGTTTTAAGCCACAATTTTAATTGATCGTAAATTAACCACAAATTAACATCATTAAATTTTAATTAATCATGTGTATCACCCTAGGTCAAAAGTTTTTTAATGTCTCACTATGTCTCTAAAAAAAATGTTTGTATGAGCTTGTATTTGTACGTGTTCTTTAGTATGTACATATCTTGCCTATATCATTTTTCATTAGCAATATATGTTTTATGCAGTGAATGACGGTGTGGTCAGGCAGTGAGCATGGAGAATGAAGGGGGAGGTTGGGTAGTGAGAATGCGCCATGCCATAAAATGTCCTTCTTGCAATGGAAACTGTTTATAATGTTGGTACAAAAAACGTGTTTTTTTCCTCAGGTGTCTGTCTGTGTGAACAACACTAGTGCCTTAACATAATTAATAAAAATAATTTAATGTTCCCTAAAATTGATATTCTCTGTTCTGACAAATGTTACAGTCCCTTTAATTTTGAAACACATTTTAAATTTCTCTGGGTATTTTACATGATGTCCTTAAGCTATTTCAAAAATTTTCTAAAAGTCTCCTTCACGTTTTTGCTTTAATATTTTTAAGAAAAGAGCAGTGTGCATAAAAAATGGCGCAGTTCTGATTTTCATCAATAACTCAATTTTCGAAAATTGCATAAGTATGGAATTTTTTCTTTGTCATTCTACATCTACACTAATGAAAAGACATTTAGTTTTTAAGAAATATATTCTTCAAAATTAGATCTAGAAATTATGTTATACTATACAATTTTTTGAAAACATGAGTAATTTCCTCATAATTTTGAGTGAAATTGTGGCAATTGCTATTTTCTTGTCTTTCCACAAACTCATAGTAAAGATAAAGTGTGTGTGTGTCTATATATATATATATATATATATATATATATATATATATATATATATATATATAACCGAACCGTTCACACTATTTTCTACAAAAAGGACATTCCTTGATCACTTCGAATGGACTCCAGATCCTGCGAGTTTGAAACTAGTATTTTGATTTTAAAGACTACTTTACATTTATGTTCAATTACTTTTTTAAAATTTTCTCAATAACGGCTTCAATTTTTTTAAAATTTAACTTCGGATAGAGTAAATGACGCTTGAAAAAATATGTTTGAAGGTCCAATTTTCGTTTAAATCTCAGAATTTTTGCTGAAAAAAAATCAATTTTTTTGACGTCTTCCTACAGTCACAAAATTGAAGATGCTATATTTCCTTCATACAATTTTCTCTTCGAAAACAGATTTTGAAATTAGGTCACGCAAAATTTTTCGAAAATATGAGCAGTTTTTGCGTAATTTTTCGTGAAACATATATAATTTTTAAACGCTTGTTTTCTCAAAAACAACTTCAATTTTTTGATAGAGCATTAGACGCTTAAAAATGGCGCATTTTTGACAAACTCTGTACTATCGAAAATTGCAAACTATCGTTTCAAAAGCACAATATTGATAATAAGATTTTTATTAAATTAAACCTGTTATAAAAAATTAATCTTTAAACGCGGTCATGAACATTTTGGAAAATATTTATAATTTCGTGTAATTTTTGCTGTCTTCGAAATAGTTCATTATAATTTCCCGCGCTTCTTTTGCTGAAGACTTTCACGACACATTAGTTCGCAAATGGTAACGCAGCGAAATTGTTAAAATTCCTTCTCATTATTGGGCGAATGTTTCTGGCAGTTTTAGATTGTCGAATTTGTGATGATGTATTTGGTTTAAAATAATTAGTTTTCGTACCTAATGTTACGATTGGAAATAAGTTTTACAATTCAGGGCTGATATTTGTTGACAGAAATTCCGGTATTATAATATTACGTGGTGGCGGCTCGTGCTTACGTTGCACGGTTCAACACCACCTAGATATACCTAGGTGGTGTTGCACGGTTGCACAACCCCCAGATAATCGGAAGAGATCACATAATATCTTAGGAACTTGTATATTGAATGTCCATATATATTGAAACGTTTCTCCGTGCTGCATTAAAACCAACTCTATATTTAAACAATTACGTTTATTCGGGAACAATTATACACTAAAATCTACTTGGTCTATTTACAATATATTACACTTAATTATTTTTTCTTTACACCGACTCCGTCTCTGATGATTTATTTACATAGTCACTTCTCACACACTATTTATTTATACTGTTCTGCTTCTTCTACAGTATCAGCCAGTCCGATGCACTGTCCACGGTCCACTGCACTTGACCCCAATTCCCTTCACAGACCACAATTCCTCTACTGAGACCACCAATTCCTTGCGCAGACCACCACTTCACTGCGCACACCAGGGTCCACTGCACTGCTGTTTACCGCATGGTCCACTTCTCAGCTCAGCTTCCACTCAGACTTCAAAACTGCTTGACTGCTGTTCCCCACTGCACCACTGCTTACCGAGATGCACCCTTCACAGCTCAGCTTCCACTGCCAACTTCAGGACTGCTGACTGCTGTTCAACCACTGCACCACTCTTCACCGCAATGCACATTCACAGCCACAGCTTCCACTTCGGACCAACACTGACGGACTGGCTGCTCTCTGCCTACTCACTTGCACGTCTTACACCCACTGACTTCTACTCACTCTTCTAACATCCACTAATAGCTAACTTGGCTCCGCGCCGCCCGCAGCGCCGCATTTTATACCTGCCCCGGCGCTTGTCTCCAGGCACCCGCACATTCTGGAGCCGTTTCCCCGCGGCTCGCGGAGAGTCCCGGAACCGTCTTAGTTCGAGGCGAAGGGAAGGGCGCCGGCAGATGACGCCAATCCACGCCGCAGCGAATTCGGCAAGGTGATGCAATATTGTAACCAATATATATAATTATTTATATATATATATATAATATATAGATATACTATATATAATATATTTGACGTACCTGCGCGAAACGGTTTACTTCCACGACAAATAAAATAATATGAAAGACGGGGTACATTGCTTCCGTGAATGGCTTCCAGCGGGAATGACGCTGCATAGAAGAAATGATCGAAGGAAAACTCTTTTGTGCAATTGAAAGGTTTAATGCATTGACACACATATATACATTAAATTCTTTACAATACGCAGATGCGCCAAGGCCTTTGAATAATTCGTGCACGAGTAACGCTACCTTTTGAAGCTTCGATGTCCACCGGACTGACTGGGAGGCGAAGGCGTGGCCCGCCGTGGCCAACGGCGGCGGCGGTGCTTCGGCAAACTGCGTCCGCCCCGAAGCTTGTAATTACGGAAAACCATTCTCCCCCACGCCCGTCGGCTCCCGCGGACCTCCCGATGCAAGCCCCAACGAACTTCGCCGGGATCCACCACCCCCAGCAATGGCAAGCCAATGTCACAATATACTAACTTGCACAACGCGCAAGGGCGTCCCGTCCAGGGCAAGCTCCGATCACAACCGTTCTTCCCTCCCAATCCCCACTCGTACTGTTCGCCAACGGTGCGCCCGCCTGCCTGCATCATACCCGGGGCGGAACATGCGCACGCCTGTCTGTCGGTCACTCCAAACGTCCAATATAATGTTTTCACCGATTCCCGCGCCTGGTGCCACTTTCCGTTTCTCCCAATCATCTGATAATCTATTTTTAGCACCTCTAATCTCCCACTCAATGGCTGCAAATCAGTTTGCCACACTATTAGTGTAATTCACTACAAACTTGCTTGCGCAGCACAACCCTCCGTGTTGCGCTCGCGGCCTCCCTGCGTTACTGCTCAACCGTCCCACTCGCCTCGCCGTCTGACCCCCCGTTTGACCGTCTGTGGCAGCGGCGGCGGCGGCGGCGTTACTACGCTGATCGATTTAGTGCTTCTTTTACTGAGAATTTAATACAATTTTGCCTTGTTTATCATGCGGAAACGTTCTTCGTTTCCAATATAATATATATATATATATATATATATATATATATATATATATATATATATATATATGCGTGTGTGTGTGTTTGTGTGTGTGGACATTCAATATACAAGTTATTGCAGAAATATCGATGTGTATAAAATAATTTTGAAACTAGCGACCCACTGGCGTTCCTGATGTCTGATGCCTTGCCGCGAATCGCACCACGCTCTTGGCTTATTACTGGGTTTTCTGCGTTTACTCTATGACCATTCAATTTAACACGGTTAACATGGGCCTTTTGGTGGCGCAACCAGACGAGTGGCGCGGTCTAGCGCTGAGCGCCGACGGAGGGAGTCTCAGATGAATACCAATATTCTCCCTTCGTCTCACTCGTTGCAACAACGTTATTTTATGAATTTCTCTTGTTATTGAAAGTACACAAGCTCAGTCAATTATTAAGCGAAGGCAGAGATTTTCGTTTAAAGAACAGTCCAACCCCAAAGTTTTCAAGCTGAATTCGCTAGAACAACAAGACGATGCCTTGGTTACATCAGTAACAAATCCAACAGCTTGAGTTGATTATCTAAAGTGGTTTTGATCAAATCGTTTACGTAATTTTTCTTTGTTTTTAGGGCATTTTTATAGCATTTATCATACCTTTTCATCTTGCTGGTTTGTTTGGAATATAAAAAAAGGACTCACAAAAATTGAAAATAATTGAACATATTCTTTTCAGCAGATTGATTTAACAAAATTAACATAGTGAAAAATATAATTTTAATATTACTCTGAAATCCGCATTTTAGTATTAATACATTATTTATTATTATTATTATTATTATTATTATTATTATTATTATTATTATTATCATCATCATCAACGTTATTTTCGCTTCTAAAATTATATCTGTAATATGCGAGTGATTTGGAGCATATATAATGGTTATAACCTCCAAGTAATTAATTTGGTAATTAAATTCGGAAATAAAAACTCAGTTGGGTTTTTCTAATAGAAACAGCTCTATATTTCCCACATTTTTCAATAATTACAATGGATAAATAAAAAATGGATAATTAAATTACCTGTAATAAAAACAGAAAATAACATTTAAAGTTTTTACTTCAGGTGAATGTTAATTAATAGCTTTTTATAAGCGTCTTCTGTCACATGCGATCATTGATCAATTCTTTTTCTGTCTCCGACATCAGTCACTAGTGGCCTCTTATATTATAGAGGAGTTTTAGAGTTTCAGTTTAGTAAGAGTAGGAACAGGTCCAACTTTTTTATCATTAGATTTAGGTTTATTTAGTCAAAAACAGTAAAACTGAATGTTTCGTATGGGGGAGAAGATCATCTGCACAAGTTTTCTGAAGTTCCAGAAACCCTTCCCGTCATTTTAACTACAAATAATTGAAAGGTGAGTAAAAGTTTAAAGTAAATAAACAAAAATAAGTTTTAAAAATAGCAAGATTAGCAATATTTGAAAAATTTAACATTTTCGTTTCCGAGTTATAGAAAACGTATTTGCATCGGTGAACGAATTGCAAGAATGGTTTTTCTGCATTGCTAACAAAATAGTAACTCGCTCTTAACTCTACTTTTACCATTACATGCAAAAGGAGAGTTCAACAACGTGCGCATATTGAAGCTACATTCACGTCCAGAAGCAAGATAAGGGGCTATCTCAGCATTTGCTCAATGGATCAGGGAAACTGGACAAAAACCTGATCGAGATGGATGTCATTGACTCGGAAGCTGAAGTACATTATTTGTTACAAAGATATTAAGTCTTTTTAAAAAAAAATGTATACAATTTTTATGTATCACTGCTTTGCTAAAATAAACATTATTTTTATTTTTCATGATCAGTATAGTGCTGCAGTTACTCAGCAGAAAAGATTTTTAACTTAAATTTGTGAACCGACTTCAATTGTTTAATATTATCTGGCAATGCGTTGTAAAGTAACGTACATGTATTGTATGTGGATTTCTGATAGTGAGCTGTTGATACTGACACTTGATGAACGTGATTTTTACGACTTGTGTTGTAATTATAAATATCAGTATTGCATTAAAATATACTATGTTCCCGCCGTTTTGTCTTTTTTGACAAATATTACAGATTCGAAAATATTTAGTCCAGGCAGTGATAAGATTCCAATCTCAATGAAGAGAGGCTTGCAAGGGTAACGCGTATGGCATTTTTTTCATTATTCGATTAATTTTCTTTTGCAATCTAAAAGTCTGAGTACTACATGATGAGATGAGTTTGAAGTACTACATGATGAGAATATTTTATAGTTTTGAACCGGACGATACAAACAGCTCGATAACATGGAATTCCCTGCAATTTAATTGTACTAAAATTGTCACATTATTTTATTGTATTATATTTTCTACTTAGATTGCAACTAAGGCAGGATATCATAAATTCCATTCCGAATCTCAAAATAAATATAAATTAACTACATCCAAATGATTCAAAAATACCGCACAGCATCATGAATGCAAATAATTGGATGAGAGTATGTTTACGTCACAACTCTTGGCATTGCATAGTCTTACTTAGTGATATCGCCACCCGTTCGAGTGCAGCACTGAGGTAAGGCGAACGCATGTCCCGATAAATAGTACGTGGTTCGCTAGTCCTGCATGCCATGCATGGTCCTGCACGAAAACAAAACCTGTCAGCACGTGCTGCGTAAATATCGGGAATACGGTTTTGTTGATTAAACTTAATAGATTAGAAGGAAGCAATTATCAAACTCGGATCAGCAATGTCTCGGTTGATTGTTAAAAACTTGGCGAATAGTGTTACGGAAGCTAAACTTAAAGAAGTTTTTAGCGAGAAAGGTAATGTCACCGATGTACAACTCAAGTATACTTCTGATGGCAAATTTAGACATTTTGGTTTTGTGGGTTTTCTGGACAATGAGCAAGCCTCGCAGGCAGTAGAATATTTCAATAATACTTTTATTAACGGATCTCGAATTAGAGTAGAATTTTGTGCTGCTTTGGGTGATCCAAATAAACCAAAAGCGTGGAGTAAACATTGTGCAGACAGCTCAGCATACAAGAAGATTCATCAGGTAGTTAAAGAAGAGGTCAAAGAAGACAAAAAGAAGAAAGAAACAAAAAGTTCAGCAGTAAAAGATATTTTGAAAAATTATGAAAATGATCCAGTGTTTTCAGAATTCATGGAAGCTCGCACCAAAGGTAAGGAGATATGGAGAAATGACATAGTTGCTGATAATGAGCCCCAAGAAATTAGTAATGGAAAGGGAACGGAGCCCAAAAGTAATGAATTTGATAGTGATAGTGAGAATGTTAGTGATGATGACAAAGCTGATGACAGTGAACTCGATGAGTCTTCCAAAGTTGCCAAATCCAATATATCGGATATGGAATATCTGAAAATGAAAATGAAGAGTAAAAAAGAATTGAGTGAACAAACTGAGAAGTCTGAAGAAAACAAGCCATCTGAAAAGGAAAAAAAGAAGGAGAAAAATAATGTTGTTCTCTATACTGTTAAATTACGTGGTCTTAAATACAATTCAAAAAAGCAACAAATCAAAAAATTTTTTTCTCCTTTGAAACCATATTCCATTCGGTTACCAAAACTTCAGAAAGGGATAGCATATGTGGGATTTAAAACAGAGAAAATGATGAAGTTAGCTCTAATGAAACATAGGAGTTTCTTAGAAGGACGCCAAATATCTGTATTAAGATATGAAGGTGATGTGAAACATTCTCTAAAAGCTCGAAATTTAGGGAACAGATGGGAAGAGCAAGCTGAAAGCTTGAAGAATGAGGAAGCTGTTGCAGAATCTGGTCGAATATTTGTTAGAAATCTAGCCTACACTATGAAAGAAGATGACCTTGAAGCATTATTTGCCAAATATGGGCCTCTGACAGAAGTAATTATGCCTATTGATCGCTTTTCAAGGAAACCCAAGGGCTTTGCTGTGATTACTTTTCTTATACCAGAGCATGCAGTTAAAGCATTTATGGAGTTAGATGGCTCCATACAACAAGGCAGAATGATGCATCTCATACCAGCCAAAAGCAAAAAATCGATTGAAGAAATGTTGGAAATGGATGGATTAACATACAAACAAAAGAAAGCTCTTAAGGAAAAGGCACAAGCATCTTCTTCAAATAACTGGAATACTCTTTTCTTGGGTCAGAATGCTGTGGCTGATCTAATTGCAAAGAATTACAACACAACAAAAGAAAAGGTATTAGATACTAGTGGTAAAGAAAGTCTTGCTGTTCGTCTGGCGTTAGGTGAAACCCAAATTGTTAGTGAAACAAGACAATTTTTATTGGACAGTGGTGTACAACTTGATGCTTTTAATCAAAACACAACTCTTAGATCAAAAACTGTGATTTTGGTAAAAAACTTGCCTGCTGGTACTACATCACAAGAAATGTGTCAGTTGTTTGCAAAATTTGGAGAATTAGGACGTGTACTTTTGCCCCCAAGTGGAGTGACTGCTATAGTGGAATTTCTAGAACCATCAGAAGCAAGAGCAGCATTTAGAAAATTAGCATACAAAAAGTTTAAACATATACCTCTGTTTTTGGAATGGGCACCTTCAAACACCTTCTCCACAGCATTTGCAGGAGAAAAAACTCCTAAAGGATATGAAGCTCCATCAAATGGTGAAGATAATAAGATTTCTAACAACGTGCATTATGATCAGCAAGAACAAAAAGTGGACAAGAAAGATAATTCTCAAAAAGAAGAAGAAGAAGAAGAAGAAGAGGAGGAGGATGAGGAACCAGAACCTGATACAACCTTGTTTGTTAAGAATTTGAATTTTGAAACGAGGGAAGATGCTATTAAAGAGCACTTTAAAAAATGTGGTCGTATTCATGATGTGACTGTAGCCTTAAAGAAAGATCCTAAAAATCCAGGAAAAATGTTATCCATGGGTTATGGATTTATTCAGTTCAAGAAAAAAGCAAGCTTGGAGAAGGCCCTCAAGTCCTACCAGAACGCTGTGCTGGATGGTTATTCCCTTGAGTTGAAGCGTTCAAATCGAACATTACAGGCAAATGTAGCCACTGGAAGAAAAGTTACAAATGTTGGAAAACAAACAGGTTCAAAGATTCTTGTGAGAAATATACCATTCCAAGCCACTCAGAAAGAAATCCGAGAATTGTTTCAAACTTTTGGAGAAATAAAAGCTTTAAGACTACCTCAGAAAATGGTAAGTGCAGGAGGGTCAGGTGCTCATAGAGGATTTGCGTTTGTGGAATACTACACAAAACATGATGCCAAACGAGCATTTAAGTCATTAGGTCAAAGTACTCACTTGTATGGGCGAAGGTTGGTGTTGGAATGGGCCAAGGCTGAAGAAAATGTGGAAGAACTTCGCAAGAAAACTGCAAGTCAGTTCCAGAATATATCTTCACATTATCAGCGCAACAAAAGTATAGCCGAGTTCGAAATGGATCAAGACCCAGAATAATGACAGCTGAAAGGGAAGTGCATTAGTAGTATTCTTAAGTATGTGTGTCGCTTTGAGTGATTACTTTCCAACCAAAATTAATATTACTTGCAGTGCATCTTGAAATGACATCAGAACAAATACATTAGCAGGGGTAGATCCAGAGATGTGTTCCAGAGGGATAGATATTTTTTAAGAAGTAAATTTTCTAAACTACAACGATCAAGCCAATTCTATTTCCATCTTGTTAATAATATTTTATAGTTAATGCATAATTTATTGCACTATGTTTTGTGAATATTTACTGCAACCAAATGCAATATTTATTTAACTAATTATAGAAAAATTTACTAATATTTGGAAAATAGCAGTTCCTTCTTTCTTGGAGGGAGGGCAAAGATGGCCATTTATGTTTCTCCAATCTGTACAGACACTCATCAGTTGATATCGGGCAGTGGTGTAACCAAGGAATGGGGCTCATACGGCTTCGGTCCCACCCCAGGAACTGATGAAAATATTCTTAAGTGTAGTTTCTACAAATTTCCTGTAGTAATAAATGTCTTTCAGTATCTCATTGCAGCATGTAATAAATAACGATCAATGAATCAATAAACTTTAAATTCACTTCATAAATGAAATTTTCTTCTATATCTGTTAGACATCCCCCCCCCCCTCTCCTTGATGGGAAAAATCCTGGTTGCGCTACTGATCTTAGCAACTGTGGCCATGCATTAAATTGTTTTAAATTGAATGTAGTTGTAGTCTACACAAAATATTGCATGTGCAGCGAAACTGAATGTGCAGTGAAAGTGTCACTGAATATGCAAAATGTTTTTTTTAGTAATCATAAATTTTTCTATAAAGGGGTCGTCCATAAATCATGTAATGCACATTTGGAGTATTGTGAATACCCCTTCTTCTTTCTCTGCTAGTTGGTGAAAGGAGCGTAGCAGAAGTTGTGTGGTGAGATGGAAGAGTGGGTCTGATGGCCTGAGCCTCGCCACGTACAATAGGGCAACTAACTAAGTAACTCACTCCCCCCACACATGCTTGAGCCCCCCTTGAAATAATTATATAACACTTGCAACAAGACCCTCTTCCACATTTACAAGAAGTAAAAATAAAGTTTGAAAGCGGTAACAATGAGTTGTATTAATTTTATTTGTGTCTTGTGTAATTTTATTTCATCAATTGATGAAAAAAAATTTCCATTGTAACAATTTATGCATTATAATTTGTAATTTATTTATAATTTTTAATTTAATTTGTTAAAATTTTCATGTTGTGTACAACTGAATAAAAGGAAATGTTTTAGTAAATGTTGCAAAATTTTAGAAGTAAATATCAGCTTTATGTAGCATTTATCAATATGACCCTCCAACTCCTATGTAATACAGCGTAATGGTGCCTCAAACCCTCTCTTTCGTGTTTCACAATTAATGAACGACCTCAAAGTAATGCAAGGAAGGGTTAAGATTATTGTGAAACTGTAAATATTCATTTAAAAAATTAGCAATCACTTGAATTTCATCTTGTACATAATGATTGAACTTCAGAAATTATAATAAAACAAAATTCATATAACCATGATTGAAAACTAATTTTGATGCGAGTTTAAAAAAAGTTTTGTGTATAAACCTTGGGTTATAAGTAAAATAAGCTAGGGCTGACATTGTCATTTATTTTTGTATTTAAAATAAAATAGGGAAATGAATAATTGCTTGAGTAGTAATCATTGCATCACCAGCCAGAGAAAGTGGATAAATAACTGAAGGGGAGTTGAATGCCAACTTTTCTATAACATTCCAAAAATAATTTTATTACTTCATTGAAGTGTCCATTATTAATATTTGCGTTAATGAACTAGCTTATGAATACAAACAAACATATGAACTTATAAAGTAGTAATTGTTTTTATATTTATGTACAATGAAATAATTATTGTTTCAAATCAAAACTTCTAAAAAATTCTATGTATGGATTTATATTGGAATGTAATATGTTGGTTCCCTTTAATGCAAGAATTGCTAGTATTGTTTGAAATTATATTTCTTTATCTATTTTTTGTACATTTTAATTTTGATGTGTATGTGTTGTTATTTTATTCATAATTGTATAATGTAAATAAACATATTTTATTAAATCTTATTTTCACTTAGCTTTTAATCTTAAATTATGATATTAAAAAAAAATTGTTATTATTGTTGGATATTTTACAATTGCAACTGTAAAGAATAAATGAATGATAAATTGTTCTGCAAATCATTTTGTGCTTTATTCTTAAAACCTTTCTATTTAACTGAAAACTTACATATACAAATGTAATACAAATCATTCAATTTCTAATCCTTATTATATTTTGAAGAGGAGATAGAGCAAAATAGTATTCCCTCATATATATTCTTAATATTAACAATAGACAAGAAAAAATTGCTTTATAAAAAAATGTTTGGTGATTATTGCCAGTCAATATAATCTTCATAAATTATTCCATTATTGGTTGTATTTAGACAATAAAACTGTTCTCTTTTTTTTTAACTAATTCTTGGATTTATGAGCTTGGAAAGTTAATATTTCCTCCAATAGATGCCCTTACTAGGCTCTCGAGGATAAGCAAGGACGTGTTTTATTTGTGTTTGGCTTAGCTCAAATGTTTAAGAATTATGAAAAAATGAAGATTTAAACATATCAATTGCCTCCTTCTCAATGCTGCTGAACCACAAGTTCTGCAGTAACAATCCAACATAGCTCAAAGCCACACCTTACCCTGCTCTCATGCTGCTGGTTTTCTGCTTTTCCTACATCACATCACCAATTACTTCATCATTGCACTACTTGATTTGATTTACTTTATCAATGGACAGTTAATAATAATCATTTTATTTGTCCATAGAATTATAATAATAGTGTACAGATGTTACTATTTACATATAAAAAATTTAGAACAACAAAAACCATCACCATAAAAACAACAAAACAGGCAGGAAGAATACTAATTTTGCTTGACTACATTACATTGTATCTAAACGTTTAGCGAAAATACCTTTCTTATTAAAATTTGTTTATCCAGTACACTCCAAACCCTCTGTAAGTACTTATATACTTGTCAGAGAGGGGTGAGTTACTTTATAAGCAGTTAACAGTAAAAATGAAGATTTAGCTTACATAATGAACAAAATAAAATCTTGTAATGATAGTTCTCAACAGGCAAAAAGAAATCCAAATCATCAAATTATTATCTAAACTAACAAATAAATAAAACGAGATGGCAGTTGGCAATATGCAGAGATTTAAATTAAACATAATTAACATATTGAAAACTTGTAGTGACAAATCTACAAGTAAAAAGAAATCAAATTCGTAGCTAAATTAACAAATAAATTATAAATAAAACAAAACAGAATGGTCATAAGTAACAAGGTAAAGAGATAACTCTTGAACTTTCTATTTTTATGTTGTGCCTAGTGTCTTGTTTACCATTCTTTTAATTTTTTTCTTTCATTTTTAATAATTTTCTATATTCATAATAATAATAACAATAATTAACATTGCATAGTTAAATTGTCAATGAACACATGGTTATAATTATTAATTGGTATATAAGAAAATGAAACAAAGAAAAAAAAATTCAAATCAATTGCAAAAAAAATATAACATTGAAATGTAAGAGGCAAAAAAGAGATTGCTTTTGACTCAAGTAAAACATTGATGTCATGTTCTTGGTAAAGTCTGTTTTTTATTCTGTTTGTTTTTCTTCTTCACTTCATGGATTAGGCTACTGCCTGTTCCGTCCTCACAGTTTCTCTCCATCGTTTT